ATGAATGTCGTGCTCCCCCAACTCCACTGCCCATTTGGAGATCCTTCCGGAGAGTTCAGCTTTCCTCAAAATTGCCTTCAAGGGCTGATCAGTTAGGACAGTGATCGGGTGAGCCTGGAAATAATGCCGTAGTTTCCTGGCAGTGGTGACCAAGGACAGAGCCAGTTTCTCCAGGGGTAGATATCTCGTCTCGGCATCTAGGAGCGCCTTGCTTATATAGTAAATTGGCTTCTGGCGGTGCTCATGCTCACGGATAAGTACCCCGCTCACCGCAAACTCTGAAACTGCCAAGTACAGGAACAGCATCTCCCCCTGGATGGGGACGGACAGGGTTGGAAGAGTCCTTAGGTATTCTTTGATCCCAGCCAGGGCGTCCTCGCACCCCTGGCTCCACATATTCTTCCCAGCACTCTTGATTGCTCCAAAGAAGGGTTTGCATTTATCCGAGGAGCGTGAGACGAAACGGTTAAGTGCAGCCAGCATCCCTGTGAGTTTCTGGACTTCTCGGACAGTGCGAGGGCTTCGGATGTCCAGGATTGCTTTAATCTGATCCGGGTTGGCTTCGATTCCTCGTTGACTAACCAGATACCCGAGGAATTTTCCTGACTCCACTCCGAAAACGCACTTCGCCGCATTAAGCTTTAGCCCATACTCCCTGAGGGTGGAGAAAGTGTCTGCCAAGTCTGCCAGATGATCACAACTCCGTCTGCTCTTCACCAGCATATCGTCTATGTAGACCTCCATGGTGTTGCCGATCTGCTTTTTGAACATCCGATTCATCAGCCTTTGGTATGTTGCCCCGGCGTTCTTCAGTCCGAAACGGCATTACTTTGTAACAATAAACTCCCTTCGGAGTGATAAATGTCGTTTTCTCCTGATCCGGGGCATAGAGAGGGATCTGATGATATCCTGCTCGGGCATCCAGGAAGTCCATTCGTTCATACCCGGCTGTGGCATCTACTAGCTGGTCCACCTTTGGCAGGGGGTAGTCATCCTTTGGACATGCTTTGTTCAGATCCGTAAAATCTACGCAGACACGCCATTTCCCCTTTCTTCTTTGCGCATACTGTATTGGACAGCCATTCTGGGAACTGTATCTCTCGAATGGCATCGGCTCTCAGGAGTTTGTCTATTTCCTCATTGACCGCGTTGGTGTGATGCGGGGCCATACGTCGTGGCCTCTGCTTTACTGGCTTGTGCGACGGGTCAACATGCAGCCTGTGAGTGATTATCTCAGGGTCTACTCCTGTCATTTCCATTTCGTTCCAGGCGAACACGTCTGTATTTCCCCTTAAGAACCTGATCATCTCCTCCTGTTCGGCTGCGGGCATCGAGGTCCCAACTAGGAAATACTTCTCTTCTTCTCCTTCAACCAAAGGCACCTTCCGGAGGTCTTCAACCGATCGTTCAGCTGGGTCTACCCGGGGGTCATCCATCCCCGGACGCCCGGACTGTAATTGCTATTTTTCCATGATCTCTTCCGGTGCTCGCCCCTTCTCCTGGCTGGACGCCCCGGCTCGGACGGCCGAATAAAAACAGTTCTTCGCAGACGCTTGGTCCCCCCGGATCTCCATGATGCCCTCTGGCGTGGCGAACTTTAACTTCTGGTGGAGAGTGGAGTGCACCGCTCCCAACGCGTGCAGCCATGTTCGCCCCATAATCACGTTGTAAGGAGAGTCCGTGTCGATCACAACAAACTCTGTGTCGATGACGAAGGGACCAGTGGCGACCGGTAATGTGATTTTTCCCACGGGCAAGGCGGAAGAGCCGTTGAACCCGATGAGGGGTGTCCTGATTTTGGTTAGGTCTTTGGGGCCAAAGCCCATCCGTTTCAGGGTTTGAAGTACATCACCTCCGAGGAGCTCCCTGAATCTATCAAAATCCTCTTGACATCGAATTCCCTATCTTCAGGGTAAGACAAGGGCGTCGTTATGAGGAATCACCACGCCTGTCAAATCTGCGTCGGAGAAAGTAATGCCGAGCTCACCCATCCTGGCCCTTTTACTTGATGGTCCCACATCCTCCTCGGCCACCTTTCTTGTAAAAGCTACCCTCTTGAGGTCGGACTCGAGCTCCTTGGACGTGGGGCGCTCTAGCGGACATATATGAATGACGTCTATGACGTTGTGTGGTTCCTCGGCCGGGGCAAGAGCTCATCTCTCTTCTGGCCTAGGCTCTATGTATTCTTTCAAATGTCCATCTCGCACCAGGCTTTCCAAGAATGATTTGAACACCCTGCAGCTTTGGTGCGATGCCCGACATCCCGGTGATATGAACACCTAACTTTTTGATCACGGGTGGAGGGGTCGCTCTGCATCCTGGGCGGCCATTTGAAGAACGGCTCGTGCTTGATTTTATGGAGCAGCCTGAAGATGGGTTCCTTGAAGACCGTGTGAACTCCTCTGGACGACCCCCCAGGTGGGGTAGTAATCCCTTTCGGGGAATATTTCGCGTTCCTTCTCCCTTCTCTTGGGTTGGAGAGCTCGGCCTTTGTTGCTTCCCATCTCGTCCTCGACCTTCGAGTACTTGTTGATCCGGGCCATCAGTTCCCCCATATCCGAGGGAGTCTTCTTGGTCAGGGATCGGTACAGGTCCGTGTCCCTCGCCAAGTCGAGCCGGAAAGATGCTGCTGCCATGCCCTCCGAGCATCCCTCTACCTCATTGACCTCTTCCCAGTATCGGATGGCGTACTGGCGAAGAGTCTCGGATTCCCTCCGTCGAGGGTCAACAATGATCCAATGTCCTTGGGGCGCTTACTCCCCGTAATGAATCGGGTTAGGAACTGCCTTGTCAATTCTTTCCAGGACCCAATACTGTTTGGGGGAAGCGTCTCGAACCACCTCATCGCAGAGTCCCCAAGCTCATAGGGAACACCCGGCATAGAAACCGTTGGTCCGAATGATAGAGGGACATCATCTGCTTATATTGTCTGATATGGGCTTCGGGATCGGACCGCCCATCATAGGTTTTGAACCGTGGCACGACGAACTTTCTTGAGACCTCCATCTCACTGATTTCCCTCGTGAAGGGTGTTTGCATGACTTCGTCCTCAGCCTCGTCCTGGACAGTCTTACCCTTTCTTCTGGAGTCTAATCGGGCTCTGAGATCGACTTCTTCCCCGACGGGATGCCTCCTGAAGTCCCTGGGTTCATTGGTAAGCCCCTCGTTTCCTGGGCGTCGTGTAGATTGGGTTGAGTCCTCCTCGGATTCATCTCCCTTCCTCCGTCTGGACAAACCTCGCCGGAGGTCGTCCAGGGCCAATGGCCTCGCTTTCCTGGAATGGTTGTCAAGATGATATTCGCCGGCTCTGGGTCGCTTCGGGACCCTGGAGCTTTCTGCTTTGTGGTCTAGTTGGTTTCTTAGATCCTTTGTCTCCGCCTCCTGGACGGGGAGTCCTCGGGAAAGGAATGAATCCCTCGACCCTCCGCCTGAGGCGGCAAACTCGTCGAGCCGGCTAAGGACGTTCACATTGTCCTTCTCCAGCTGACGTAATCTATCGCCAAATTTTTTTTCAATCACCTCTGCCAGCTGACGGGCCAAGGGGGCTGATCCTCCTGACCTGATCCCCATACTGGTTTGAGGGGTTACCCCCCTTGACCGAGTAGAGGCACTTTTAATCGTACTGGTGCGATCCCTCCCTCCGTGATGGCAGGGAGCTTGTAACTCATGACTCCTTTGGTGGGTTCCTTTCCCTTTCTGTCTGGTGTTCACCATGGTCACTGTTCTTTATAGAGAAAAAATTAGGAAAACTACTCGTTTCCCACAGACGGCGCCAGATTGTGCGTGCAAGATCCTGCACAATATAAAAATATTGGGAACAGATCTCTCCCCTGGTGAACTTTGAGTGAACCGGTCGAGTGGCCAAAGACGCTGCTTGAGACAGCCTGAGAGGTACGGTGGTAACCTGGAACGGCTACGGAAGATCCTGGGAAAGGAAGAACGATCCGGTACGTGTGAAAGGTTTTCCTGGAATAAAGAGGAACAAGTTAGAAGGGTGCCGGAGTGTTTTCCGGCGTATCCCCTCCGACGGTCTAGTCAGTCTTTGAATGAGAGAGAGGAAGGAGAAAACACTGAGAAAGATGTATTGTCGTAGAGAGTTTTTGATTGCATACCCGCTTTGCCTTTTGGGAGGAGTATTTATACCTTAAAAGCTCATGATTGCTGTCAGTGTGGTCAGTAGGTGATCATCAGGCACAGGTAGCGTGTGTATTGATTTTGATGAGGAATGTCTTCTCTAATTGACTGCTCGGGGTCCCGAGCAATCAATGCTGAGTCGTCGGGATGCCGACGGTACAATATGCTCCTTTCGGGAAGGATGCAATAAATGCTCTGTAATAGGAGCATTTATTGCCTTTCATATCCGAACCTTACCGCATTGAATGCGGTCTCGTCAACAGAAGGGTGCAATTAATTGTTTGCTTTCCCAAGCCGTGTGTCAGTAACGGCGTGCAGTTTGTCTGTCTTTGATGTGACATCATTTGCCACACGTCCATCCCTTATTGGCTGTGACTACTGTATTCCGGTATGTTCTGACATTACTTGTGTAAGACGAGGTCATGATGAGCGGCCTAGATTAGCCTAGGCTAGTGACCTATATATGTCAATAGCTTATCTCGGAGTAGAGGAAACGCCCAGGATGGAGCAACCCTCGGCACCGAGGAAAGGCTCATCTCGGGGACCGAGGGAGGTATGCGACCGAGGTTCATGGGTGACCGAGGACATGTGTTGTTTGTACAATATACTGAACGCATGTCCTGTATGAGGTACCTCGGGGGCGAGGACATTCGTGGCGCCGATGGCGCTTGGTCCAAGCAACAGTGCTTTGACAAACCCCGAGGACACGTGTCTTCATCATAGGGCATTTCAGAAGAGTCTCATCAAATTCAATGTTTATGTAGCTATAACATGTATTGCTATACTGTTGATTCTGTAAGTCTAAGTTGCACGATATCGTTGACCAAAAAATCTGATTTAGTTCATAAGATTTTCACTTTCTGATAATTATTTTGCACCGAGTCAATCACATTCTTATTCATTTGATTTGAGGCTAAGTTACTTTACCATTTTTGAATTCTGAACAGTTTCCAGATTTCGTGATGAACGTAGCGACATTTGTTGGGGCCTATGTAGTGGCATTCGTATTGCTATGGAGACTCGCCATAGTGGGTGTTCCATTTGTGGTGCTTTTAATTATACCAGGTTTAATCTACGGAAGGAGACTAATGAGCATAGCCAGTAAGATGAGAGATGAGTATGGTAAGGCGGGTACAATAGCAGAACAAGCACTATCTTCAGTCAGAACTGTTTATTCTTTTGTGGGAGAGGACAAAACTGTTGCTGAGTACTCTGATTCTCTTCAAGGGACTGTGAATTTGGGTTTGAAGCAAGGCTTAACAAAGGGTTTGGCCATTGGTAGCAATGGAATTGTCTATGCGATTTGGGCTTTCTTGTCTTATTATGGTAGCAGAATGGTCATGTACCATGGGGCTCGCGGAGGCACCGTGTTTGTGGTTGGCACAACCATTGCCATCGGCGGATTGTAATCCTCTCAACCCTCTCTGGGTTTCTTTTTTTTGTTTTTTTCCCAATTTTTCGCTTGGGTTTCTTTTTTAAGAGTAAATATTAAACGGTGATATCTTGTCACCGTTGAATATTTTATACGAAAAATGCAAAATTTCACGAATTTACTGGAAAAATCGTGAAACGGTTAGGTTGGTATCTTTTTTTTTCTACGTAACTTTCATAATTTCGTCATTTGTTTCCGATATTTCGCTGTAAATTCGTAAATCGGTTGGCTTTTTTCACAAATATACTTGATGGGTATCTTTGTTTTGCTGCGAAAAAAGCATAATTTGAAAGTTTCTACAGAAACGTTTTTCTTTCCATAACGAACAAAAGAATTATCCTGTTTTTGGACTCTTGGTTTCGTTCTTTTTTGTCGCCTTCTTTTTGCTTATGGTGATTATGTTGTCCCTCCCTCAGTTTTTAGCTTCTATTTCAACTTTTTTTTAGAGGCTTGATTGAATTCAATGAGTTGTCGACTTCAATTTTGCCATTGTTTCTAGAAATTAAATGCATGTTTTGAGAGTACTTCCAAATATCACTTTTCTTGGATGTAATTGTTAACGTTGGCTGTACATATGCTCTGTTTTCAGAAGAAAAAAAAACTCTATCGATGTGTGAACTATTTTGTTTTTCTTGTTCTTTGATGATCAGGGCATTTGGTTCTGGATTATCCAGCGTGAAGCACTTATCGGAAGCAAGTGCTGCTGGTGAACGCATAATGGAAGTAATAACAAGAGTCCCCAAAATTGATACAGAGAACATGGAAGGCCAAGTTTTACAAAACGTTTCTGGGGAAGTTGAATTCAAACATATTGAATTCGCATACCCATCAAGACCCGAAACCATAATTTTTGCAGATTTTAACCTGACAATTCCTGCAGGCAGAACAGTGGCCTTGGTTGGAGGAAGTGGGTCTGGAAAATCCACAGTGATTGCACTTTTGCAGAGGTTTTATGACCCTCTTGGAGGTTTGATTCTTCTTGATGGAGTTGCCATTGATAAGCTTCAGCTCAAGTGGCTAAGGTCACAGATGGGTTTAGTTAGTCAAGAGCCTGCACTATTTGCCACCTCAATCAAAGAGAACATACTTTTTGGCAAAGAAGATGCTTCAATGGAAGAAGTTATTGAGGCTGCCAAAGCTTCTACTGCTCATAACTTCATTTGTCAGTTGCCTCAGGGATATGATACCCAGGTTGGTTATGCTTGTCCTCTAAGCTTTGTTGTCTTCCTTTTACCTGGTAGAAATTTTACCTGTTAATTCTGAAATTTGGTTATGGTTAAATCATTAACAGGCTGTGTAATATAATAAGCTGAATGTGGGGTCTATAAAGGGTACCATAATTGTTGAAATATATTCCTTTTGTGTAGTTGTAGTCTGGCATAATCATAGGAGAGGTTTTGGGAAGTAGGTGACAAATTCCTAGAGGAATATCCATTTTTTTATCCATCTGCAGCTTGTTTCATAATCATTTGAGTCTATGTGGGCATAGGGTTTGCCTTTGAGACCATTCATTGAGTGCATAGATGAACCAACATTCTTGACGTAGCATCCAACAACTGTTAGCACCACTTTAGCATTAGTTAACTGCGCCCATGCTTGGCTCATTCTACTCATAATATCATTCCAATCCAAGCAGGCACTTGCTCAGGATTGATATGGTCAAATTGACTAGTGCCAAAATTTTCCCTAAACCAGAAAATGATAGGAATCAATATCTGCATCTATCCTCCAAAATTTTTATGCTTACACAAGGCCATTGTGTCATGAAGACTTGATTGTCACTATTAAAACAAGAAAGAATTTGCTTCCACATCTTCCCTAATTACAGTTGATTCAATAGTTGTCGAAGCATCTAAACAATTCGCTGTTACATTTTTTGAGAGAGAAGAATACCCTATCATATTATTGTTCTGCATATGATCGAGTGGAGGTTGTAGGTTGATTTTTTGGAATGGGCTTGACAACCACCACTGATTGTTATGAAAAAGAGGGGCACTTTTTATTCCTTCTTGTTTAGAGGAAGGAACTAATTAAATAGAATTATTTATTCACTTATTGCTTGTTCCGGAAACATCACTAAACTATTTAAACAAAGAATCATATGTTTGTATGGAGCATCTCTACTGGCAGGTCTACTAATATTACCTCCTCCATGTACTTCTCTTTTGCTCTTTTTTAATATGGAGGAGGGAATAAGAAAACAGAAGAAGATTATTGGGATCTCTGGGGATCGTAAACACATCTCATTCACCATATTATTTTCTTAGTTAGTTGTGCATAATTATTAGCAACGTTGACTAATACCAGCTGTCCCGTAGTATATTTCTTCATAAGAATGAGATCCTAACAAAAACATGTTTGTCCATATTAGGCCAGTCTTTTTTTCTGTTTTTAACTACATATTAGGCTTGTCAAGGGATTGGATTCCGACCAGATTTTGATCCTTTGACAGTCCTAGTCCATACTAGGTAAATCATGTGGCGCTGCTTTGGGGTGTGATTTTTTACAGCTCGTAAAACAGCCCCAGATCTTGCCAGATTTTCATGCATACCCCATTGGTTTTGCTAAATTTTTCTTTTTTGTTAGGAAACGGAACTTTTTTTAAAAGCAATATATAGAGTACCATAGGTTTTAAGTGATTACTAAGAACTAATAAAAATAAGAAGATGTGTGCATGCAGGTTGGTGAGAGAGGTGTTCAGATGTCAGGGGGACAGAAGCAGAGAATTGCAATTGCAAGAGCCATAATCAAGGCACCCCGAATACTCCTACTTGATGAAGCCACCAGCGCATTGGACTCGGAATCTGAACAAGCCGTGCAGGAAGCACTGAACAAGGCTGCCATGGGCCGCACCACCATCATCATCGCTCACCGTCTCTCCACCATCCGAAATTCAGACCTTATAACTGTTGTCCAGAATGGCCAGGTCATGGAGACCGGCTCGCATGATGAGTTGATCCAAGACAAAAATGGCCTATACACATCACTCGTGCACCTTCAACAAACTGAGAGAAACAAAGAGAAAGTTTCAATTACAAATAGTAATGCCTCAACATCATTGTCCTTTGCAAACATGGATATGCACAATACAAGTAGTCGAAGACTATCAATGGGTAGCCGGTCTAGTTCAGCTAACTCAGCTGCACCAAGCCATGGAGGAGGAGAGTATGCTGCAGTTTCCGGTGATCAGGTTTTTCCAGTTCCTTCATTTCGAAGATTGTTAGCTATGAATCTTCCTGAATGGAGGCAAGCAACAGTTGGTAGTGTAAGTGCGATTTTATTTGGTGGAATTCAACCGGTGTATGCTTTTACAATGGGGTCAATGTTATCAGTGTATTTCTTGCCGGATCATAGTGAGATCAAAAGGAAGACAAGAATTTATGCATTGTGTTTTGTTGGGTTGGCGGTGTTCTCGCTTTTGATAGGTTTAAGTCAGCATTATAATTTTGCGGCCATGGGGGAGCACTTGACCAAGAGGATTAGAGAGAGGATGTTTTCCAAGATACTCACTTTCGAAGTTGGCTGGTTTGATAAGGATGAGAATGCCAGTGGTGCTATTTGCTCCAGGCTTGCTAAAGATGCCAATGTGGTATGTCATACCTACTCTGCTCCTGTTTTTTATCCATGAATGTATATATTGGTAAAAATATTATTAAACATAATTAATAAGCGTCTTGATGTGTGAGATGTATGAGTAATTGTGGGTATCTGAGTTTTGCATTGCAATCATGGTTTCAATGAATGTATGGGTGGTTAGAAATGTGAACAACTCCCCTTTATCTGAAAAAAAAAAATAACAATATGAAGTAGATTGAAAACTTCATAAAACCAGCTTTGTATTCCTCAAGCTTGTTAAATGGTTCAATAGAATTTGGCCAGGTCAGAAACCTGTGCGATCCAATCAGCCAAATAGTTATGGTGCACTATGAGCGTAGTTGTAGCCTAGGGCCTAGGGAACTATGGCCCTCGGGTTTTTTGAAAAGTCTACTTATCAGCTACTATTTGAACAGTTACTTCTCTCCCCATCAATGGAGTAGTCCCCCCAAATTTTGGATCTTAGTACTTGCTCCATCTTGCTTGCTCGAGTTGGAACCATCATGAACCAAACATCTCAATAAACCATAGCTTAAGCACCCTGGAACTAGACCTCAGAGAACATCTATAAGCCTTTGTGGATCTGCCCAGTCATTTGTGATAACACATTAGATACCCATACAAATTGATGTGTTACCCAGTGTGTTGGAGTATTGCATAGTTGTTATCAAATTTAATTAGGATTGATAATTGAGCCGAGCTACTCGGGCTCAGGCTCGGCTCGGAAAGGATTCGACTCGAGCTTGACTTGTGTTCTAAATAAGTTAAGTTTGAACAATTTTTTAGATTCGTTTAGAAAACGAGCCTAAAAGCTTGGACTCCGCTCAATTCGATTAGGCTTGCTTAGAAAAGCGAGCTCGACAAGTTCAGCTTGATTAACAACCCTAGATCTGATCTAATAAAATTGATGTTTTATAATTTACAGGTGAGATCTTTGGTTGGTGATCGGATGGCCCTCATTATCCAAACCCTCTCAGCAGTGACCATTGCTTGCACCATGGGCCTGATCATTGCATGGAGGCTTGCAGTGGTCACAATAGCTGTCCAACCACTCATCATTATCTGCTACTATTGCAAGCGAGTCCTACTCAAAAGCATGTCCCAAAAGGCGGTCAAAGCCCAAGATGAAAGTAGCAAGCTTGCTGCCGAAGCCGTCTCTAACCTCCGAATCGTCACTGCCTTTTCCTCCCAAGCCCGAATTCTCCAATTGCTCAAAAAAGCTCAAGAAGGCCCACAACGCGAAAGTATTCGACAATCATGGTTTGCAGGTCTTGGACTTGGTACCTCTCAGAGCCTTATGACATGCAGTCGGGCACTAAGCTTGTGGTATGGGGGCAAACTCATTGCTGAGGGATACATTGGGGCACAAGCAGTTTTCGAAACCTTCATGATCTTATTAAGCACCGGCCGTGTCATAGCTGCTGCCGGATCTATGACTACTGACCTTGCCAAAGGTTCCGATTCAGTCAGGTCCGTGTTCGCTGTGTTGGATCGGTATTCCCTAATAGAACCTGAAGATCCAGAAGGTCACCAACCTGAGAAAATAACAGGTCATGTGGAGCTACGCGATGTTGATTTTGCATATCCTGCTAGGCCTGACGTGATGATCTTCAAAGGCTTTTCAATCCGGATGGAGGCAGGGAAATCAACAGCATTGGTGGGACAAAGTGGGTCCGGAAAATCAACAATAATCGGTCTGATTGAGAGATTTTATGATCCACTTAAAGGTGTAGTAAAAATTGGTGGTCGGGATATAAGATCATACCACCTTAAGGCACTAAGGAAACACATTGCACTTGTTAGCCAAGAGCCCACATTATTTGCTGGTAGCATAAAGGAGAACATTAGGTATGGAGCCTCAGTTGAAGTCAATGAGTCCGAGATCATCGAAGCTGCCAAGGCAGCCAATGCTCATGATTTTATTACAGGCCTAAAGGATGGATACGATACTTGTTGTGGTGACAGGGGAATACAGCTCTCCGGAGGCCAGAAGCAACGTATTGCCATAGCCCGCGCCATACTGAAAAACCCGGCAGTGTTACTGTTAGATGAGGCCACCAGTGCACTGGATAGTCAGTCAGAGAAGGTGGTTCAAGATGCACTAGAGAGGGTGATGGTGGGGAGGACCAGTGTGGTGGTGGCTCACAGGTTGAGCACAATACAGAACTGTGACACCATTGCTGTTTTGGACAAAGGAAAAGTTGTGGAGAAAGGGACCCACTCTTCGTTATTAGCTAAAGGGCCCAGTGGGGCCTACTACTCTCTGGTCAGCCTCCAGACGACACCCAACACCAACCATGAAGTCAACTAGTTGCCATGGAAAGAAAGATGCTTTGCAGACTAATTTTGCCGTCAAACACATGGAGCGATGCTTAAGAATGCCAAACGATTTACCAAAAAAACATAGGTCTGATTTGAGGTAAAGTGTATGGAATAGTGAAGGTTGGTTGCATGTGTTATTGTTGCTCTGAATCTCACTTTGAAATAATGGTTTCTTATTAAATGTAAATGTGTAATAATTTTAGACAAGATAAGTGTAGGGTAGTGTACGTGAATTTATCCAAATAATCTATTGACAATCAAGTCATGTCGTATTTCTATAACAGAACATCTTCTCAATCCCGTGTATTTTTTACTCACGATTATTATGCAAAACTAAAGTATGCGAGCCATAAATGTAATTTAGTCTGCTAAATTGTACAAGCATCAAAAAGACTTGTTTGATGCTTGTATTTGCTATATCTACATTGTTTGCTATATTGTTACAATTGAAAAAGGCAAGATGACAAAGTAGTGGAACTGATTCATAAATGGAGATCACAACTAGACAAGTTTGAATAGAAATGTGAATCACCTCTTAAATTGTAGTAAGTGGTATTCGAATCAACTTATTTATATATCAATTAATCTCTTTTTTAGTCTAATTAAAAACAGATCATCTATACTGAGACTAAAAAATTTACGAAAAATAAATTTCTTGTGACCGTCTCTAAAAAAATTACCAAGCTTTAAACTTAAAATATCATATCATGGCAAGTTACCCGAGGGCCAATGCTCCCCATGGGCTACTAAAATGAAGGGGATAATATATTAGTCGACCTGCTCGTGGTCATTCACAGTCAACACAGTTCCTGTGTTGTAGTACCTCCGAACACAGTAGGGTGTGTTTGGCAATTCATGGATGAACTGAATTGGCTTGGATTTAAATCCCAAACTAATTCAATGAAATTTCAATGGACCGGATTCGTAAGGGGATAAAAAAAAATTTGTGTTATCTAATCCCAGCTTTGAATAGTACATTATAATGGGGTTGAAATATGAACAAACTATAATTTTTTATTAAACATCTAATGCATTTGACATTAATCAACCATTTTACCCTTAAATCTTATTCAATCCTATCTCTTTTTTGGCTTGACAATTGTTGGTTATCATTTTTTAATTTTTTTTTTTATTTTTTTTATCATTGTTGATTACCAATTTAATATTGTGAAATATATAAAAATACTTATGTATTCACCAAATACATGTTATTACACATTAATTTTATAATACAAATTTATAAGTTGTTCACAAATTTATTTTATCCGCCAAAAATATTAAAAAATTTAGGACAAAAAATGCGTCACAACCCAAATTTACTTGAACTATAGTAGTAACTAACCGGTTTTTATTTTTAAAAAGTAAAAGAAGAAAAAATTAATTCCAATCACCACAAAAAAATACAATATGCCATTATGGGGTACTATATACAAATCTCATTCATGTAAAAAAGAACAAAAACATGTGTTAATAAGAAAAAATATATACAACATACCCATGCAGTCAACTCGTGTGATCCTTTATCATTAAAAATTGAGCACATATTTTTTACTCTAGCAAGTGGCAGAATTCTTCGGTCAAGCAGCAGCATAAAATTTACCATGTTCAGCAACAAATTAAAACAAGAAAAATACGAAATCAACTGATCAATCGCAGCCGTGTTAGCCATAGCATCAGCAACCCCATCGAGTGGAAGAAATGTGGGAAATGACCTCATGGATGGCGGCAATAAGCTTCAAGAAGATGGTAATTTGGTCCATGACAATGTTTTGGGACACTCTGAAACATGGGATAAGAAAATTAGACAAAAGGGGAAGCATAGGAAAGATGATAATCTTAAGACCCTTTCTGAGCAGTTGAATGAGGTCCCAATGGATAGTTATGGTGTAAATAATGTGTAAAAAAAATCCACAGGCGGTACAGAGATAGAGAGAGGAGGGACTTAGAAGAGAGAGAGAGAGAGAGATACATACCTTGGCTGAAAGGGGACACAGGCGCCGTTGTCAAACTTAAGGAACCAGCACCAGCAGGTAGGTGAAAAGGAAGGGAATGGGGGAGTAAAAACCCTACTTTGTGCTTTACTGTTTAAAGGGTAATAACGTAATTTCGTTAGTTATCCAGCCGGCGGGCTTAGAAATCCCAAATTCAGCTGGGTTTCATGTATTCGGATCAGATGGGATTTGGGGCCTAATTGACTACGGGCCGAGTAATTCAAACCAACAAAAATTCAATCCCACCCAACAAACACACCCTAGAGGAATTCACTAAAAAATACTAGCCAAAGAGATGATTTATTCATATAATGCTTACAAAATATAAATAATGTTGTGCACACTACCTTGCTACATCACCTCGCTTATGCCATTTGATGCGGCGCAATTATAATCACCAAATATTTGATAAATTTTATGGAACCTACTAATCTACTGGTGTATGTTGAGGTGGTACATAAAGATAGTATAATACTATTTAAACCTAATTTGTTAATATAATTTATCGGTTTAATCGATTACAATCGGTGAATTGGAAATAGGTCTCAACCAATACTAATATTCATCGTCAATCCAACGACAAGGATTGATTATATCAATAAATTTGGCCTATAAATTAAATATAAATAATATTTTCCTTTCTAATAAGATGTTGACTAAATCCTACTTTATTTTGTTGTCCAACTTAATTACTTAATTTCTTTCATTAAGGGGTTGTTTAATAAAGAGGTATTGGGGGGAGGGGGGTTTGAAAGGATGGGTTTGGTAAAAATATTCCAAAAAACCTCCACACTCCATGATTGGATTGAAAATTCAATCCTGTGTTCCCAAATCTGGCCCATAATTAACTCGAATATTAAATTCATGATCATGAGTTTCATCAAATCTTTGAGGAAGGTGGTTTTGAAAAGATGGGTTGATGATGCAAAAAATAATTATACCCCTTAATATGAGTATGAAATAGATTGATCAAAGGTAAAATAGTCATTTTTAGGACAAATAATTGTCAATAATTATGTTATATTCATAAGTCCTATATATGTATATATTGCATATCAAACAAGAGTATGAACGAGATTCAATGTTGAATCCCATATTTGTAAATATAAATGTTTGGATTTGAAAGAGTTTGGGAAAATTAATTTAAACCTTCCCTAAAAATCTATCCAAACAAGCCATTAAGGGCATATCAATAATATTCTTTAAGGACTTACCATTGTTATTAGAGTATTGTTACTTAGATTGTGCTATCAGAGCTTAGAAGTTTTGAATTCAAATTTCATATATATATATATATATATATGTATATGAAAATAATCATGTGAATGAGCCACCCAAAGAGGGCTACACGTGAGAGACAATATTAGATAAATACTTATGTTACGCCATTCTTTAACAATTTAAGTTTTTAGAGTATATAGTTGTTTAACATAATATTGGTTCCCATGATTATAGGTTAAATGACACTAGTTAATTACAATAGCAACTTAAAAAAATTAAAATAATTACAATAGCAACCTAGAATAGAGATATCCCCAGCAACACATATTTTCATTCATTTTCTTTCTTAATAGCTCTCGTACCATTAAGTCAAGCAGTTTTGTTGTATAAAAGTGAGTCCCACACTTATTAACAATATATGATGTGTAAAAAAAAAAAATTATTAGAAAAGATTTAGATCCATAAATTGAATTGAATAAATGTGATTGTAATACAAGATGACACTTGACTTTTTTTTGAAAGACGCCTTTTTCTCATTTTAGGCTACCACAATCTAATGATCTGATTTCAGTGGAGTCATTGGATTAATACTAAATTATAATGTTTGATAAGATTTATAATTAATTCAAAAATTATAATAAATTATGATATCGACTTTGACATTTTTGAGTTTAATTTGTGTTACAATAGGCTTGTAGACACCCCAAATTGTAAATTGCAAGCCCAAATGAATTAAAAGTGGATCAAAATCCACAACCAAACGCTCCGAACAAACTTAAAATAAAAAAAGAAAAAAGAAAAAAAAGAAGCAATTTCGAATAATGAACAGCGTCCAGGATTATAAAAATGGTCACGCAAATACTACAACTTCTCTTGGGTTTCCAAATTTCTTCGTTAGTTTTCCTTTACCCTCCCTCCCTCTCTCATACTTTCTATTGCTTCTCAAACGAGAAAGGGCAACTTATTATTTCAAAAGTTGATCCAAAAGATTCAACTGATTTTCTTTTTGGTTAGATCTGTTCTCCTTCTTTTTGAAAATTTCTTGTGGCTTGTTTCGAAAAATTGGTTTTATAAATGTTGTTTCTTGTTATACTTTTTTTTCTTTCTGTTGTTTTGCAGATATGAAACGAATACGAGATGGTAGTGATGATAATTCACAATTTAAGCGGCCATTTGGTTCCTCCCATAGAGAATCGTAAGCTTTTTCTCTTTTTTTTTTCTTGATTTGTTACATATAGATGCTTTAAAGAAGTGTTTAATTTCCCGTGGTGTTATGTGTTGAGTTTGGTAGATTATATTTTTCATCTGGGTTGATTTAGAGTGTGGTGTTTGGCTGATGTTGATGTTAATGGTAGCGTCTAATTTTTTTTTTTTTCATTTGATGTTCTTGTACACCATGGAATGGAATTTCTTTGAGGTCGTGCTTATTGATTTAGTGGAATTTAGTTGCTATATCATGTTTGGGACAAAAATACTTTGTGAACAGAAGTGGTTGATACTCTTTTTGCCATCTATTGCATCCGTATATAAAACGTGCAACGAGTATGAGCAGTTGTCTACAAAATGGATGTAGAGAATTTGCGTTCGTATTTCACAACAGTTGTGCCGTCAGTGTGTGTTTTATTCTATTGTGATTGTTTTTCTCAGAATTTAACATTAAATCCCTATTTTTCTGAAATGAAGCTATGGGCAACCACTCCCTGGAGGAGGCAGTGGCATCGGCATCGGCATAGGCGTCAGCGTCAATGGTGGTGGAGCAGGAGGAGGAGGTACTGGTGGTGGCAGTACACAAAGGCTCACAACCAATGATGCACTAACATATTTGAAGGAAGTTAAGGACATGTTTCACGATCAGAGGGAGAAGTATGATATGTTCCTTGATGTAATGAAAGATTTTAAGGCGCAGAGGTATATTTTGTCTCCATGCTAGGGCTGAGATGTTAAAATAAGGCATTGCATGAAACATTTTGTTAATTCATCTTGGTGACTTGTTTATTGCAGGATAGACACTACTAGAGTCATAGCAAGGGTGAAAGAATTATTTAAAGGGCACAATAATCTTATTTATGGTTTTAATACCTTCTTGCCAAAGGGTTATGAAATCACCCTGACTGATGATGAAGAAGCTCCTCCAAAGAGAATTGAGTTTGAAGAGGCTATAAGTTTTGTAAACAAGATTAAGGTAAATTTCTATTTAAACATTTTATTGTGGCTACTGAGTTTAGTTTATATGGAGGTTGATGTTTGGATTCTTGTTTCGTTAGAAACGTTTCCAAAATGATGATCATGTGTACAAATCATTCCTCGACATCCTGAACATGTACCGAAAGGAGCACAAGGGCATCACTGAAGTTGACAAAGAGGTGAAGTTTTCATCTTTGTTCATATAAATAGCTATGCTAGCAGGCCCTTTTCAAAGAGGTTAATCACTAAGCAATTTTTAGATGTGAATTCTATCCATTTGCAGGTTGCGGCACTTTTCGGTGACCATCCAGATTTGCTGGAGGAGTTCAAAAGATTTTTGCCGGATAGCTCAGCTACTGCATCAGCACAACATGTTCCCTTTGGCCGGCATTCTTTTCATCGCTATGATGAGAGGAGCTCTCCTATGCTTTCACTACGGCAGCCACACATGGAAAAGGTAATACGTCTATATTTTTACCTTCTTCATGTATACCTTGTGGTTCAGTTCTTTCATAACAGAGGGTTGAACCTCTTTGTGTTTTAGCAACCCTTCCAGAAGGACAGGATTGTGGTTCCCCATGCCGAACGGGATCTAAGTGTTGAGCGTCCTGATCTGGATGATGATAAAACGATGATGAAATTGCAGAAGGAGCAGAGGAGGCATGCTGAAAAGGAGAACAAGGACAGGAGAAATCGTGATCAGGACTACAGAGTACCTGAGCATGACAACAATAGGGACATCAGCATACATCATATTTCTGATAAAAGGAAATCTGTCCACAAAGTTGAAGACTATGGAGTGAATCCTAATTTGGCCTCCTATGAAGATAAAGACACTTTGAAAAGTGAGTGAATGGTACCTGTTTATTTCATAATGCAGTTATATATAGGGATGCCTGATTTCTATTTGGTTATTAACTTTTTGTGTGCTAGCATCTTAGGTGTAGAAACGGTATTCCTTAATTATGTCTGTTTTTATCTGAAAAGTTGGCTCTTGTGATCACATGCATGTGACTCCACATAGTTTGTATTGCTAATGTAGTAGAATTAAGTGTCATTACTTGCTCTTTAGTTTGCCTACATAAATATTCATCTACATTAGAATGTGATAATGCTGAAGGCAAAGTTTTTTTTCATGTTTTTTCCAGGAAGTTGAAATTGATCTTCATGCTTAATGAATGTTATCTCTTACTTAACAATTGTTTCTCTGTTTTATCTTCTCCCTTCTTTTGTATGTGATCCCCATCTTTAAAAGAACTAATTACCTTTTTTTTTAATTGAACTGGATAAATACGTTATCGCATATCAATTTTTTGCCATTCTTAAACTTGCTGATTTATCTCCTACAAGTTCTTAACGGCATAACATCGGGTTTTCCTGAAACAATGCCAGGCATGTACAACCAAGAGTTCGCTTTCTGTGAGAAAGTGAAGGAGAGGTTACACAGTCCGGATGACTACCAGGCATTCTTGAAGTGCCTTCATATTTATAGCACAGAAATAATCACAAGAAAGGAATTGCAAAATTTGGTATGCATAAATTTCCCTTACTATCTGTAGTTGTAGCAAGTGTTTTGGTCCTTGTAGCATTAAAGCTTAGAAATTTGAAAGATCAATTTATTTTAGTTGAGGCCTACTCGTATCCAAAAAACTACTCTAATATATATGCTTCTGCTGGATGATTATTTTTTCTGATTGGGAAATGATGTTTGTCCCATGTTCAGATTAATTTTTGACCCGTGATTCCTATACCTATGGTTGTTGATGTAAATAGATCCATTAGACATCCATGTTTTTCCTTGTTAACCAATCAAGTAACTCTAGCATGTCTTTACCTTATGATGTTTCATTTTGTATCTACTGAAAAATGTGTAATGGTGCATTGTCCGCAACAGATACAAAGAGGAAGAATAAGACTTATCTGGAAAAAAAAAAAACAGAAACGAAGAAAGATTTAACCACAGAATTTGCTTAAAACATGAAGGCAACTGATCAAGGAGCTGAATTCACATATTGTGTCATAGGGATACAAGTTTGTCACATAACATTCTTTAGTTCGTTCAGTATTAGATCACACCTTACATGTCAGGCATCTTTTAGATGCTCACAAGCCTAAATTACTGCTTTTCCTTGGTGTTTGTGTGTGGTGTCCAAGCTTGAATTTGAATTTGTTTTACCACGGTTGTTAAGAACAAGTTTTTGTCAACCTATTTATTTTCACCCACTGTTTTAGATATGTTATCTTCATTGCGTAGCAGTGATGTATATCTTGCTGTCATCAGGTCTCTGCAATGAGTATACTGGGGCACTTGTTCTTGGAATTGCTTTACTAGCTGCCCATCAGTGAATTACTTTTTCTTTCCTTTCTCTTGCATTATTAACATAATTTCAGCATATTTGACACATGGACATTGGGCATTAGCTATCAATGGCTGTTTCATGTGTCTCTACCCTTATTTGGATGTATTTTCAATTATAATTTAAATCTTTTCTGCATATGTTTTTTGTGTCAACCATGATCTATAGTCTAACAAATTATACACTAGTGTCCTGTGCACAGTTCCCTTTTCTTCCCCTTCCCTTAAATAATTAGAAAACAAATAATAAAGGCAAACTAACCTGATAATTGGTTGTTTAACCTTAAAAGTGTACTAACTATCAAGATGCTTTTCCATTTGCCTTGTTCAATACTTCTAAAAAATTTACTTTTTTCAGGTTGCTGATCTACTTGGGAAATACCAGGATCTTATGGATGGGTTCAATTCATTTTTGGAGCGTTGCGAGAGTATTGGTTATAATTTACCATTAATTAAGTTGTTGATTGAAGTCATTGAGGTTGATTCTCATTGAGGCCTGTTTTGCAGATGGATTTCTTGCCGGTGTTATGAGCAAAAGTATGTGACTTTACCTCGCTTCCATTTGTAATGTGAATTTTTGTGTATAATGGTGGATTAAATTTTCCTTTTCACAACACAGTCTAAGCTGCTTCATCAAGCCTGTGAATATTTCAATTTTAAACACGTTTTGTAAAATCTTATGAAGCCGATTTGTCAATAGCAGAATCTTTGTGGAAAGGATATGTATCTAAATCAACGAAGGTTGAGGATAAAGACAAGGAGCAGAAGCATGAAATGGATGGACATAAAGAAAAGGAGAGATACAAGGAGAAATATTGGGGAAAATCCATTCAAGAGCTTGATCTCTCTAATTGTCGACGTTGCACACCCAGTTATCGGCTTCTTCCAGCGGATGTATGTGTTCTTATTTTTACGTTTTGGTTGGATATTGTAGTGATTTTGTGCTAATTAGAAGTTCTTGGTAATTGTCTTTATTCAGTATCAAATACCTGTACCGAGCCAGAGGCTTGAGCATGATGATCAACTGTTGAATGATTATTGGATATCCGTGACTTCGGGTAGTGAGGATTACTCCTTCAAACATATGCGCAGAAATCAGTATGAGGAAAGCCTGTTTAGATGTGAAGATGATAGGTACAAAACAGTTGTTTTGTTAGTACTCTCTCTCTCTCTCACACTAAAAGTTTTGTTAGCATGGTTCTTGATCCAAAGTCATGGTAATTGCCATTGACTTAGAGGGGATTGACATGCCATCTAACTATATCGGATTTGTATGAGGCATTATGGAAAAAAGGCACACTATGTATAAGCCAAAAATATGAAAAACTTGACATTACATTCAGAAAACATTACTCAACAACCTTTGTTCTTTTCTGAATTTGTCTTCATCCTTGTTATCCTATTTTTGAAGCAGGTACTGGTACCTTGCACTTATGCCTTCTTGGGTGATGTTTATATAATTTTGGAAGGAATAATACAAACAAATTTATGAGTATGTTTTACAATTTTTTTTGGTTCAGTTATATCGCATATAGAAAGGTCTTAACCAAATATTGTAGATTACTATTCATTAGAGAGAGAGAGAGAGAGAGAGAGGCATGAGGAGTCTATTAACTTATCCATTTCCTCATCCTTTCCCCCAACTCTTTTTCTGGACTTTCAAACTGTAGAGCTTTTTTCAGTTATATAGCATATAGAAAGGTCTTAACCAAATATTGTAGATTACTATTCATTAGAGAGAGAGAGAGAGAGAGAGAGGCATGAGGAGTCTATTAACTTATCCATTTCCTCATCCTTTCCCCCAACTCTTTTTCTGGACTTTCAAACTGTAGAGCTTTTTTCAGTTATATAGCATATAGAAAGGTCTTCACCGAATATTGTAGATTACATATTCATTAGAGAGAGAAAGAGAGGCACGAGGAGTCTATTAGCTTCTCCATTTCCTCATCCTTTCCCCCAACTCTTCTTCCCGACTTTCAAACTGTAGAGCTACTAGGAAGTGGGTTGCCTTGGAAGACCCAAAGATCAGCAGATCAACCCATAGACACCTGTTCCACACCATGCTTTTCCCAGCTGTTGTTCATGTGATGTCCCAGTAGTTTGTCACTTTGTCACCTGATCTACTACCACCCATGCTTGACTCACCGTTCCTTGTCTCATGGCTGGTCAACTGAGAACTTGCGTACAACTGAGGTTTTGGACAATATTATGGTCCCTTGTTTGCATGTATCCATGTTGGATTCCAACATGTCTATGTGTTTTTATGGGAACTCAGTGGCAAATGGCTGTGCTTTTGCTATTGCCTTTTTGTTTTGGTGAACTACTCGTGCTATTTCACTGTGTCCAAGAAATGTATTTTTCAGATCTGATGTTTTCTTTCTTTCCCTTTTTATTCATATTATTCCTTGGTTAAACTAATTTTAGTGGGTCTCTCAATGATGGAGTTTCTATTAGTAGATCTGCTAGAAGTTTTGTTGAGTCAAGTTTGTTAGTGATGGAACTAGGTTATTGTGTTTATGCCTCTGTTTTTTATTTGGCAAGTGATAACTGGTTATTTTGATAATTTCAGATTTGAGTTAGACATGTTGTTGGAGTGTGTGAGTTCAAGTGCTAAGCATGCAGAAGAGTTATTGAACAACCTTAATGGTAGCTCAATCAATCCAGAGAGTCGTATCCGAATTGAAGATTACTTCACAGGTTTCTCATTGTAAAATTCTTTTAAGATATGTTTACCTGCTGCTATTTCACCAATCTTGTTCCCCTTATTTTATGTGGAACTCATTTCTCCTCTTCTTCTTCTTCTTCATTGGTTTATGATTTTGGTCTTTTCTCTTATTTTTGTAGCTCTCAATTTAAGGTGCATTGAGCGTCTCTATGGCGACCATGGTCTGGATGTGTTGGATGTTTTACGTAGAAGCCCATCAATTGCATTGCCTGTTATATTAACTCGTCTAAAGCAGAAACAAGAAGAGTGGACAAAATGTCGTTCGGACTTTAACAGAGTTTGGGCTGAAATTTATGCTAAGAACCATTACAAGTCACTTGATCACCGCTGCTTCTATTTCAAGCAGCAAGATTCAAAGAACTTGAGTGCAAAATGTAAGTTATATCTGGATGTTAAATGTGATGAAGCGCAATATGTAAGTTATATCTGGATATTAAATGTGATGATTAGTTGTGATAGTTAGACATTTGGGGGGATGCTCCTGCCTGGTTGATTTTAGCTTTTACCATCTTATGGGATTACTTGTAGCTATCTGTGTTGAAATTTAGATAATTGGTGCATGTATAGTTAGTATATTTTCAGAAACTAGGAAACAGAAAGGAATTAAATGATTTTTAGGATTGTAAGAGTGCCAGAAAATTGCAAGTGCATCTGCATTTTCCTAAGACGTGTTGGGCTAACCTTCATTGCAGAATACTATCTTAAGCCCTCTTTCCTAGTTTGTTCCCTTTTCTCACCTTTGATACTTCTTTTGATTGAGATGCTTTATATATTTTTCAAACTCAAGATCAAGAATTATTATAACTCCATTAAGGAAGAGGTTACCAGTGTGAGTGCATAATAGATGTTGACCACGCTGGACGAGAAGAAAGTCTCTAATTATTGGCTATGCCTCTTGAATATTTGTTGGAAGATGCCTTGTTGCTTGAGTTAGAAGAATGGAACTGTTGGGGATGGTTGTGTCTTTAGTTTGACTTCCTTTAATGCCTTTAAACTTTGATGTGCATGGTGAATATTTCTTCTACAACCTTCTTTGCCATATGATGATCATGAAAAGATTGTTACACCAGCCTTTTGTATTATCCTGCCGCATTCCATAGTTTTTATTTTACAGTGTGAAGGTGCATTATGGTTGACTAAATTAATAAAATCATGTTTCCAAAAAAAAAAACTAGTGCATTGTCAAAGTACTACTTAGATCCCGCACTGGCGGGAGCCTCGTACACTGGACTGCCCTTTTTTGTAATGTTGGCACAAGCTTTTTGATTGGTCATATGTGTCCTGAATGCATAGTTGGAGGTTGAATTCTTGATTTTAATGGATTTTCTTTTATCCAAAAGTTTCCAAAAGTGAAGGATCGGATATTTCGTGATATTTATTATGTCAAGTTATTAATTTTGATTTTTGCACATAGATATTTGTTTACTTGATTCGGGCAGTGTCGTATAATAATACTGGTAGATGATGTCATACTGTCAATATTGTTCAAAACTTCAAATAGAGTATTTTTTGTTACTTGAACATCATTATTCTATTAATGAATTTCTTTTGGAAATAATGAATAGAATATGTGGTTTCAAAAGATATATGATCTTTCTTCTTACGGATCTGTTTCATGCTTCTGATGGACAGCCTTAGTAGCCGAGATCAAAGAAATTAAGGAGAAAGAGCAGAAAGAGGATGATGTGCTTCTTGCTATTGCTGCTGGAAGTAGACATGCTATAACTCCAAATTTTCAATTTGAATACCCAGATATTGGAATTCATGAAGACTTGTACAAACTTGTGAAGTACTCATGTGAAGAGGTTTGCACGACCAAAGAACAATTCAACAAAGTTATGAGGCTTTGGACTTCCTTCTTGGAGCCGATGCTGGGTGTTCCTTCTTGGTCTCACAGTTCAGAAGGTTCTGGAGATGATCTCTTATCAAGGCACCGTGATGTTAAAAACACAGTAACAAGCATAGGAGAAAGTGATGGAAGACCTGGTGCTGATGCTGCTACCATGAATTCAGAGCAATCAAAAGCCATTTGCAATGGACATGAAAGCACTTCACCACAAGAAGGAAATTCTTTCAGGACTAGCTCGGCAACAGGGGATACTCTAACCAAGGAAGATGAATTTCTGCTAGAGAAAGATCAGAAATATACACATGGTATGGATAAGGTATCTGATTTGAATGCAACCATGGATTCCAGTGACCGTTTAATAAATTCTGATGTCATACTTGCCAATGGAGCGGATACCATTCATGGAAGGGTCAACATGGAAATGACTTCAGGTATGTTTGTTGGGATTTCACTAGCATGATTATAGTCTTTTGTGGTTCATTGTACTTGATTAGCATATATCTGACATTTATTGAGGGCTGGCCCTTGGCATAGCGATAAGATTATTCCACTAAACGTAGTCAAGTCACAGAATAACCTCTCTACAAATGGAAGCCAGATTCTGTACTTCTGACCCTCCTAGATCTTGCAATGTATCATGCACAGGAGTGCCTTTTATGTCTGACATCACTTATATGTAAATTTTGTGTTTTTGTTTGTGGATTTCTAATTATTTTGTGATGCTAACAAATTTTTTAATTTCAAGGGTGTCATGCAAATACTTCCAGGCCCAGTAATGGTTCTGCTGATGATGGTCATGGGTCCAAAGCTAATCTTGATGATGTACCATCATCAGAGGTATGAGTTAGCAGTTTTGGTCTAACTTGCTATATCCCCTTTTCTAGTGAAATTGGACATCCACTAATGGATTCCTTGTTGAGCTTTTCCTCATGGTCTGCGTTTCTGTAAAAGTGTATATCAAGGTTATTGTATTACTTGCTTTTGTGCTACAGTGTGCTGATGTTTTAAAATCAGTTCCATATTACAATGGAGAGTTCAGAGAAGGCACTAAAGCTAATCGATGTAATGAGGGTTCTGTTAATCCCTCCAAGATTGAGGTGGAAGAGGGCGAGTTATCGCCTAATGGTGATGTGGGAGAAGATAATTTTGTTTGCAGAGATTCACAGGCTATGCATAAGACAAAGCATAGCGCCAAAAGCATGCAACAATATAAAGCTGGGAGAGAAGAAATTTGTTGTCAGGATGGTGGAGGGGAAAATGATGCGGATGCCTATGACGAGGATAGTGAAAATGTTTCTGAGGTTGGCGAAGATGTTTCGGGCAGCGAATCTGCTGCTGATGAGTGCTCGCAGGAAGAGCGGGAGGAGGGGGAAGATGTGGAACGTAATGATCATGATTGTAAAGCTGAAAGTGAAGGTGAGGTGGAGGGTGCGGCTAATGCAAACTTTGTTGTAGGTGACAATACATCATTGCCACTGTCTGAACAGTTTCTCATGACAGTGAAGCCTCTGGCAAAGCATGTGGCCTCTGCTTCATGTGATGTTGAGAAGAAGAATTCTCAGGTTTTTTATGGAAATGAGACCTTCTATGTACTGTTCAGGCTTCACCAAGTAAGAATGAATTTCTCTTGTTTTCTTCTCTTTCATTTCTCTTTTTTTAAAAATTGGAGGAACATGTTGGAGGTGCATTTTGGTATGGCATCTGTAAGTAAGGATATAGGTTTTTTTCTTTCATTCCCTTTCACTTTTTATTTGGTAAAAAGAGATGCAGTTAGTTTTTCTTCAAGTTGTATTACATTGTCTTAGTTTCTATTTTCCAGATATTGTATGAAAGATTACTGTCAGCCAAAATAAATACGAGATCTGCCGAAACAAAATGGAGAACTGGGAAGGATACTAGTCCTCCGGATCTGTATGCGAGGTAGTTATGCATCTTCAGTTATTAATCAACTTAAGAAGACCTTATTGCATATTTATTGTGGACAGTGTGTTTATGTGCTTGCAGATTTATGAGTGCACTATATAAGTTGCTTGATGGATCTTTTGATAATGCAAAGTTTGAGGATGACTGCCGAGCTATAATTGGAAATCAATCTTATGTACTATTTACATTGGACAAGTTGATATATAAGCTGGTCAAACAGGTAAACTATCTATAGTTCTTTTATCTCATCACGTATGTTCCCCGCAACGGTTTTTAACTTTATACTTGTTGCAGCTTCAAAGTGTTGCAGGTGATGAGATGGACAATAAGCTTCTTCAATTATACGAGTATGAAAAGTCTCGGGGAATTAAGAAATATGATGATTCTGTCTACTGTGAAAATACACATGTCCTCCTCCATGAGGGGAGTATATACCGTTTTGAATATGTAGGTATTGTTACTATGTTGTTTCCAAATTATTTGAAAATATTCTATCCTTTCTTTGCCTGGATTTTTTTGTTAATTTTAGCCTTGTCGCAGTCATCTGGGCCACCCCGCTTCTCGATCCAGTTGATGGACAATGGAAATGAAAAGCCTGAAGTAGTTACTGTTTCAGTGGATCCTAATTTTGCAGCTTATCTCCAAAGTGATTTTCTTTCAGTTTCTCTGGGCAAAAGAGAGTCACATGCCATCATGCTGCATAGGTACGTCTATTATAGTAGAAGCATTAGTTTAGCATTCTATGGCATTATTTTTTGTTGGGTACCATAAAAGGTAACATCACTTCTTCCAAGTTCTATTAATTGCCCCATTGCATGGGCTCTCTTTAGCAGACTGTCAAATTAAATTTCACAGTTGAATAATTTGTAGATCTCAATTTGACTTTGTGTGCTTTTAATTCTGAATCATAAGAGATACCGGATACGACATTAGATAGACAGAAAGCATGAAATTGTCTTTGTTTTTGTCCAAGATCTCTAAGCTGGGTTAGGTGAAGTGTGGGCTGTTTTCTGATTACGATCAATTTGTTTTTTATTGAAGGCCCGTTTGGATTGCAGAAATGAAAGACCAGGAACAACACTTAATAGTATCATTTCATTCAAGCCTTAAGATAGCACAGGAGTCCCCCAACCCCAAAAACAAAAGGGAACAATATTCATTTAACTTGGACTAGTGTAGTCACATATGTTGTCCCCTACAGTCAGTGTACATCATTGTCAGCTTTGGGCTAAGTTCGCACGACTATAAAACATTTGTGCAATGTAGGTCCAAAGCTCTCACTTACAAGGTCCTTCACACACTCTTCACTGACTAACATGGGGCAAAGTACATGGTTTATTAACTCAAATCCAATTGACCATATAATCAGGTGAGAATCAGATACCCACTATTTGTAGTATCTTGTTCCTAGAGGAATAAAATTCTTTTCAACTACCATGGGAAAGATAGAAATGAGACCAAAAATGAGACTCAGATTCCCATTCAAATCTTTGGTTGTTGCCATCCAAACATAGATTTTGGTGCTTATTAGAGATGCGTGATCCTTTTTCTTGGAGTAAACTCTTAAGTGCATCGGAAGCTATTTTATTGAGATATAAGCCAATTACTTGTTGATTAGGTTCAATGGATGATATGCTATGTTGGATATTTGTGCAGAAATAAGCGGAAGTATGCAGATCTTGATGAATCTTCTAATATATGCATGGCTATGGAAGGTGCCCGTGTGGTCAATGGATTGGAGTGTAAGATGGCTTGCAACTCATCAAAGGTATATCTCCATATCGTTATAGGTGTAGGATGATACATAAACCATGATGTGTAAATGTTGTTATTTGGTTATAATTTGACTTTGTAAAGCCTTGTCTTAACGGTCTTGTGTTGGTAGCATCATAGACGAAAATATTTTTTCTGATTTGCTTTTTCTGACCATTTGTTTAGTAAATGGCCATCTTTCTCTTGATCACCTCTCTCATCTACTTCCAAATCCTCTTTGTGGTGGCCTTGATTATCTTGTTCTCTCCTGTCCCCTGTTCTCATGGTGTTTTTAAGCAGGCATTTATAACTGTCTTCGAAGATAAATAAACAGACAAAATTCACTAGTTATTGGTTCTTATTGTACATGACTTAACCATATTTAGGGCAATTTCCCATTGTCGTAGTGTGTCACATACAGCCCAGTTGCACATTCCCCTTGCACTGTTAACTCTGATCAACGACCACAATCGCCTGTAAATGCTTGTTGAATCCCTTAATGAACTGCATCTTTATCCTTCATTTCTTTCCTCAAATGGCTCCAGTCCTTGCCGACCCAGCCCTGGAACTTGGCTTGTTCGGTTGGTAGATCGTCATGGACAGGTGCAGACGTTGTCGTGTTGGTTTTTTGTACTAAAGACCATCTATTTGCTGTCTTTGCTCAATTAAAACTTGATTAGCTTTGTAGATGTCAAAAAACATATTGTGCTTGTTACGAACGAGGACACCTGGATGACCCTTGCGGCCCATAATATCCATTGCAGCCACATTTTCACCTCTTTGTATCCGTCATAGTTGAGTCTTCTAATCCTCCTGCACTTGTTTTGTTTCATTAAGACTATTCTGTCCTCTATTTGATGCATTTAATGTAACTAAGATGTTCTTCTCTTTCTGTGGTGCCCTTTCTTTGTATATCTCACAGCTCACAGTGCTTTGTTTGGAACTCATGATTTTAATTGCCTGTGGTTTCAAAGGTTCTTAACTAACTGCCTTTTCTTTTCACTTCTCCCTGTGTCTGTGTCTGTGTTTGTAGTGGTTTGTTTTATCTTTTCTTTTGTTTGGGTTTTTCTTAAGAAGAAAGAGGGGGGGGGGGGGGGGGGGTTTGTTGAACATGTTTGCTGCTGTTTTAATTCACCAAGTATAAATACTTAAGTTACACACTCTTCAAGAGCTTAAGCTTTTGGTGTTTGATGGTTGCTTAACATGGTATCAAAGCAGAAAATCTTGTATTCGAATCTCGCCACCACCTTAATTATTAAAGATAAAAGATTTTTACGTGCTAGGCCAAATATTTAGTGGTGTATACTTAAGTTACATGCTCTCTAATAGTTTAAGTTTTTAGAGTAGATGGTTGTTTAATAACCAATGTTAATGGACTTGTTACACCTCCAAATTGTTTCATCAACTTATCTTTTTGTCATTTTAGTTCCTTATATTTCCAAATTCCTGCAACTGTCCATGGACACAAGCTATACCTTATCCAACTTTTCCCTTAGTACTGATAGTCTCTACACATGTATGACTTTTGTGTACTCCTTCTGTTGTTGAGAATCCAATATGAGATTGAAATAGCGTTATTAGATTTTGTTCTTTCTTTAGATGATGGGTAAATGACTACAAGGTCTCCAGCTCGATCATATCTTCTTTTTCTTTTAATCCATCTGGATCATTTCCAGATTATACATGTATATGTATGATAAATCAGGAATTAACCATATTTTAAATTTTCAACTTGGACTTTCATAACACGAGTGCCATCATGAAATGGCAGAACATGGGCTTTTATGTTGGGTTTGTATGAAATGAAGGCAGTAGTGGATGATATCCTGTTTATAACATGCCTCGATCCATTTCTTGTTATGGTAAATTGTTACTTATCTCTAATCATAGATGGTCTGGCAGATATCCTATGTACTCGACACTGAAGATTTCTTCTTTCGTTTGAGAAGGAAAAGAAGAAATTTATCAGGAGGCAGGTCGACGATAAGATTACAAAAATTCCATAGATTCTTAATGGCCTCCTTGTATATGCCTTTTGGGGTGCTATCATGACAATCGGGGTATATTTTGCTCTTTCTGCCTCCATTTTAGATTTTTAAATGAAGTATCAACACTGATGCCTCTGCTTTTGTACTTTTGTAGAATTTCGTTGGTGTAATTGAACCTTCAAAGACTTTGTTGAGGCGTCTCTTTCTTGTATTATCTTGTCCAACCAAATTACAACTGAAGGTGAAGGAATCCAAAATGTAGTATCTTGTGAGTCCATATACACGGCACAGTGTTTGAGCCATTGTTCTGTACATAGCGTTGGCTCTTGATATTACTGTAAAGTTGTTTTTATTAGGCCGTATATTTACTTTCCTAAAATTAGAAGGACCGATCTTTCGTTTTGCCTTTTTCAATTGCTGCCGTTCCCTGGGTAAGAAATTAAGTTATCTGTTGGGATACTTGGCTGGATTATCAAGGGAAAGTGACGAAATACGAACGAATATATTTGAAGCTCTCAGCATTTTGTCCTGGTCATCAACAGTGCATCTTACATTTGGTTCTAGTATCATGTGGTAAGCTTTTTATGCCCTTTTAATTCTGATTGTAGTCCTGGTTGTTGCAAAACTTTAATTCACAGCAACCTGTTGTATGCAGATTTGAGTACGGAAATAATTTTAACATTGGACAATCACCCTTTCAGAAGTTAAAAAAGCAAGTATATTATCATCCCGTGTTGGCTGTGCCAGAAAAAAACAACTTAACCTCTTTTAATTGGGATTAAGCTAAGTGATAGCTTTTCATTTCTTCAATTCACCATTGCCCTTGGGTGATTAATGTTGAGGGTTTCTTCCTGATCTGGATTGCTAGATGAAAACAATATAAGTGGAAATAGAAGTACATGATAATTTTCTTGTCTTTTTTTTTTTCTCTCTTTCAGGGAATGTCCAAATCAGATCATAATGCTAGGGAAAGGAAGATATTTGGAATGTGGTTTGATTCCTTGGCTTTGTGGGTAGACAGGTAAAGAGCTGGCAACAAGAATCGAGTTTGGCAGTTATGAGTTTGTAGCTAAAGTCAAATTGGAGCTAGGAACGTAGCAGTAAACACAGTGAACAGAGCTACCTTGGGGACTTTTGGTTTCTTGGATCTTGACAGAAAGGAATGACAGAAAGATCGGAGACTGATGTGCAGGTGGTCTCGAATATGGAGGAGGACATAGAGAAGTTGTGCAGGATGGGCTCTTGGTTTGTAGGATTTTAACAGAAAGGAATGACAGGATTTGTAGGCATACAGCAGGATTGGAGATTGCTGTGCAGGTAGTCTCTAATATGGAAGCTTTAATTTTTTTGAGTGATCTAAAATAAGTTGCATTATAGTTAAGGTTCCTTTTGTTTCTGATGAGGACTAATAGAGCAACATGGTATAGGTTGTTACTCTTATTTTGTTAGAGAGCAAATCTTTTGTCAAATTTTGTTTGCCAAATCAATATAAATTATTAGATCAGTGGATTAAAAAAAGTGATAGAATTTCTTTTAATGGTATTAGAAGTAAAGGTAGACCTAAAAAATAAGAAAATATATAAAAATATTTAACTTAATTGAGCGTATAGCGTATAACTAACATGAATGACGAAGACAAATTCAAATGATTGAGACATAAGACTTGGTATGGTTCATTAGGTGGTTAAATTAACCTCTCTTTTTGTAGGAGATTCATCCATATTATGATCGATTTGTTAAATAGAGTTGATAAGAGTAGGCTTCAAATTACACACCCAAAAAGGGGATAATGGGAAGAAAAAAATAAAAAGAAAAAACATGCTTTTAAAGATGAGCAGAGGTTTTGTAGTTTGAGTAGCACCCAACCCAAACCATCACCTAACTGGGCCCACGAACCTTCTAAACGAAAGGCCCAAACCAACTCGTGGCCAGCTTTTTAGGGGCTGTTTAGTAATGTTTTATTTGATAAGAATGATGAAATATAAAAATGATATATTTTCTATCTTTCAAGAATTAAAAGTAGGAATGATATATATTTTTTTTTGTTTTTGGTTAGGTGGATGAAAAATAAAAATGATTAATTTTTTTTTGTCCTGACCAAGATTAAGGGTGACAATTGAATCGTATTGTGTCAGATTCGTGTTGAGTTATAAAATTATTAGTCTTTTATATTTCTTGTTCAAGTGTCAAGTTATTTTCAAATTCGTGTCGCATAATAATCAATTTCGTGTCATAAAATTAGTGTCAAGTTCGAGTAGTGCCATCATATTGAATCGAAAATTTTCACCCTTAGTTAAGATGGGAAAAAATGTTTTTTTTTTTAATTTAATTTTTTTTAATTTTTAATTTTTAAATTATATACATATATATAATATATGTATATATTAAAAGATATATAAACAAATAAGATACATCTTAACACAAATAATTAAGTTTTCATCCACTTTGCTTTCAATTTTGGAGGGATAGATTTTGATGAGTTGGAAGAAATGTTAATTCATCTACTTTTTCATTCGTCCTATTTTTCTCTTTTATCAAACATGATGTTTTATCTATCTTGTCAACTTTCCATTCTTCTATTTTTTTATCATACCAAACGAAACATAAATGAAATTGGGGGGTTTTAGAAGATGAGTTGGGAAAAAATAATCCAAATGACATATAAAATTCATAATTGGCCAAAAAATTGAAGTCTAAGTTACCAAGTCCAGCCCGCGGCTCAGACCTTAAACCCTAAATCATGAGTTTTATTAAACTCATGGGGGTGGGTTTAGAATGAGGGTTAACAGATTCATAATATAAAAAGATAATTATATCTCATACGTATACAAACATGAGTTTGAATTAAATTGGTGAATAAGTAAAATAGTTATTTATATATAAATATATTATTATTATAGTGATATATCTGTGGGTATACTAAACGTGGGTATGAACTGAATTTAATGTTGAATCACATCTTTATAAAGAGGAATTTAAGTTTAAAAGTGTTTCAGAAAGTCAATCAAAACTCTTTCCAAAAATCTATTCAAAAATGTCCTTAGAAGGAACGATATCTTTGGTAACAATTCCATATGAATTTTTCAACATCTTTGTTACTATTTCAAATCTATTTTTTTTAATAAAATTAAGTTCCCATTGTTAATGACTAAATTTTTAATTATGTTGAAGTATGGGTTGTACGAGATTGGACTGATAGTGCGAAAAAATTACAAATTTTGTGTATCGTATGAAATTGTTGTTATCTATATAATAAAATAGCTTACAATTCAAAATCTCAAGAGATAAACAAAATGACTCTTACTATTTGCGATTGAGATTGTTTTAAATTTTACTTTAAAGTTAATCTAACGACTAATATTAACACCCTAAATTTAATAGGAAAAATAGGCTCTTAAGAGTGTGTTTAGAGTGACTTTTTAAAAGTACTTCTAAAAATTATTTCTTTTAAATACTTTTAAAAAAAAAATAGTGTTTGAAACCGTCCCACCACTACCTCTACTGCCGCCACTACCACTACTACTACTACCACCGCCACCACCACCACCACCAACGCTGCCACCACTACCACCACCACCGTTGTCGCCACCACTACCACTATCACCACCCCCACCCCCACTGCTGCCACCGCCACCGCCGCTGCCGTTGCAGCCAACACTACCACCTTCACCATCGCCACCACCACCACCATCACCGTCGCTCTCACCCCCACCACCATCACTACGGTTATTGTCACCCACCATAACTATCATTGTCTCCTACCAATACCACTATCACCTACCACCTCTCACCCCTATTACAAATCGATACTTAAATTCTTTTATCTTTTCTTTATGTTTGTGATTTGATTTTAAATATAAATACAAATATGTTTATTGTTTATCATTTTTTATTATTCTGTATCTTCAGACACAGACAATAACTAGTATCATTATATTATAATAACTTTGTCATAATAGACATATAAGGACAATTTTTTCTTAATCATCTTTAATTACCCAAGATTAATGGATAATGCTAGGCATCCAAATTCCATTCTAAATGAGCATAGACCCTTTAATCATCCTGCTAATTTTTTTTTGATGGGGCTCACTGTTTTGATGGTCCGCAATCATTTAAGATGCCTTTTGTGATTCAATCAATATATATGCATCTTTCTTTTTATATTCTTAAAATGGGTTTGAAAAAAAAAAAAAACTTTCGGGACTGAACTGGTTTGGTAAATAAATAAAACTTTGAGGGCGTTAATGGTAACTCGAATTACTACATAAATGAGGCGGAAGAAAGGCAAGAGAGCTTGAAGCGCAAGGCAGGGGTTCTTGTTATCCACGGCATTTTTATTTCTCTCTCTTCTCGATCTTTGTTCCTCATTTTTTTGAAAAGTCCGGTATTTCCAATCAATTTTACGTCCAGAAAAGTTTTTTAAAAAGAAGAAGAACTCATGGATTCTGATTCAATAAAGAACCTTCGCTAGAAGAAAAGGGTAAAATATATACCTCCATTTTCATTTTTTTTTGAATTCTTGTATGAATTTCTGTATTGCTGTCAAATATTTCTTGTTTTGACTTGATTTCTTTCTATATGTTGTGTGGGTGAATTTTTAGAGAAACAGATCGGCGAAATTAGAACAGAGCAAGCTTGATGCTCCGCGTGAACAATGCCTTTCACAGAGTATGTGGTCGCTCTCATTTTATTGTCGCCTTTCTTCTGTAATGATGTTGGGAAGATCTTCTATGTATGAAAGATTCAAATTTAGTTCATTGGTCTTGATGGGATATTTTTCCGACACTCCAAGACAGTGACACGTATACTCGGTGTCAAGAAATACTCTCTACCGCGATCACGACACGTGCTCGTCGGATCATGATCCCTCTTCCCCCGAGATGGTACTATGCATAAGGATCTGCGACGCCGGTATGCACGGACGACACGTATTCCTCGGTCGAATGGGTGGGTACATCGGCCCTAACCGTACTAGGTCCTCGGCACCGATGTGTACCCACTACATCGGCGTTCCTGTTCCTGCAGGGCTATTGATAGACAGGTCATCAGCCTGGGTTAGGCTAGATTAGCCATTATGACTTGGTCTTACCTAGATGGTATCAGGACACACAGGAAAACAGAAGACTCAATCAAAGGGGAGCGGGCACATGGCATACTGTGTCAGACCAGAGGTAAAAAGACCAGAATACCCTTGCTGACACACGACTTGGGAAAACAAGTATTTAATGCACCTTTCCCTTGATGAGACAACATTTAATGCGTGAAGACCCGGAAGTGAAAGACAATGAATATTCCTGTGACCGAGCATTTAATATATCCCTGCCGAGTGAAGGTCATTAAACGCTCAACAGACCGAGGGTGATGCATTGGTTGCTCGGGGTCCCGAGCAGTTAAGGAAGGTGTCATTTCTCCTAAAAACCAGTGCGCACGTTACCCACCTCTAATGATCACCTACTGACTATACTGACAGCAATCATGAGTTTTTAAGGTATACATATTCCTCACAAAACGCATAATGAGGTATGCAATAAACCCTCTCTCAACCTTCATATAATGTTCTCTTCTTCCCCTCTCTCAAAGAATTGACTTGATCATCGGAGGGGATATGTCGAAAAACACTTCGGCGCCCTTCTAACCTGTTTTCTTTGTTCTAGGAACCCTTTCAGTTTTCTAGGATCACTCAGGCGACTCATACCAACGATTGATTATCCACCTTCGACCCCCACAACCTGTTCAACTAGCAAAATCAATTGCCTAATTTTGGATACGTGTTCACCACGGAGAGATCTGTCATCGTGTTTATATTGTGCAAGATCCTGCACGCACAATCTAGCGCCGTCTGTGGGAAACGACTAGTTTTCTTAGTTTCTTCTGTAGAAAAAACAGTGACCATGGTGAATACTCGATAGAAAGGGAAAGGTCCTCAACAAAGAAGTCTCGAGTTGCAAGCTCCACGTCATGATGGAGGGAGGGGTCACGCTGATGACGACAAAAATGTCTCTATTCAGTCAAGGGGGCTTACTCCTCAAACCAGCATGGGCATCAGGTCAGGAGGATCCGCCCCCTTGGCTCATCAACTGGCGGAGGTGATCGAAGAAAAATTTGGGGATCGACTACGACAATTGGAAAAAGACAATGTGAATGTCCTAAGCCAGCTCAATGAATTCGTCGCTTCCGGCAAAGGATCGAGGGACTCGTTCCTTTCTTCGCGGACTCCCCGCCCGGGAAGTGGAAACTAAGGACCTGAGGAATCATTTAAATAACAAGGCTGAAGGCTCCAGGGCCCCGAAGCGCCCAAGAGCCAACGAGCACCCCCTCGACGATCATTCCAGGAAGGCAAGACCTTTAGCCCTGGGCAACCTTCGACGAGGATTGTCAAGGCGGAGGAAGGGGGACGAGTCCGAGGAGGATTCAACCCTTTCCACGCGACGCCCAAAGAAGGGGAGCCCTGTCAGTGAACTTGGAGACCTCAGAAAACATCCCTTTGGGGTGAAAACTGATCTG